ATTGGTAATGTGCATGGCCGCATGGGTAATTATGCTAAGGCACTTTCATCTCTCGAAAAAACCCTTGAAATTCAACAACAATCACTTTCTTCGAATCATCCTAGTTTGGCTTCTTCCTACTACAACATTGGTTTAGTGCATAATAGCATGGGTAATTATCCAGAAGCACTGTCATCTCATGAAAAAGCTCTTAAAATTCTACAACAATCACTTCCTCATAATCATCCAAATTTGGCTGATTCGTATGGCATTATTGGTGTAGTGCATAGAAACATGAGTAATTATCCAAAAGCACTTTCACATTATGCGAAAGCCCTGGAAATTCTACAACAATCACTTCCTCCTAATCATCCAGATTTGGCTCATTCGTATGGCACTATTGGTGTAATGCATGGTGATATGGGTAATTACTCAAAAGCACTTTCATATTATGAAAAAGCCCTTAAAATTCAGCAACAATCGCTTCCTTCCAACCATCCTGATTTCGCTATATCCTACAACAGCATTGGTGAAGTGCATAGAAACATGAGTAATTATTCAGAAGCACTTTCACATTATGCGAAAGCCCTTGAAATTCAGCAACAATCACTTCCCTCCAAGCATCCTGATCTGGCTTCTTCCCACAATTACATTGGTTTAGTGCATATAAACATGGGTAATTACCCAAAAGCACTTTCTTATTTTGAAAAAGCCCTTGAAATTCGACAACAATCACTTCTTCCCAATCATCCTGATTTGGCTAAGTCCTACAACAACATTGGCTTGGTGTATGAGAAAATGGGTAATTACTCAGAAGCTCGTACATGTTATGAACGTGCTGTACAAATTGGAGAACAATCACTACCTTCAAATCATCAGGATCTTCAAATATATAGAAATAACTTCGAACGTGTAAAAAACAAATAATAAATTTTATTGTCGTGAATTTTATTTTTATAAAAAAGAAAAAAGAAATTTTTCAATAAGAAAAAAATTCTTGTAAATTCTCGCACGTGCAGAGAAACTCTGATCTGGTTGAGACACCAATGGGTGGTAACACCCACCGGTTAGGTAAACAATACATACTGAGAAATATGTATTGTAGAAAAAGACCTTCACGATAAATGATTACTGTATCTGAACAAGGTAAAGTTTCTCTGTTTTGAGTAAGACGAACGGCCACCCGACAGCCTGTTTAAAGTAACGAAGAGAGAGAGAGAGAAAAAGAACTGTATTTAGTCAGTACTATGAATTCCTCTTTTTATTCCAATGAAAAGAATAATTTATATGTATTGAATAAATAAATGATATCTATAGATATTAACATACTGTGAAACAGATCAGTATATTAATATGAATAGAAAACACTTTGTCGTGAACACTATAAAAAAGTAGTATTATTAATAATCCTTATTCTACTATTTGTCGTGAAAAATAAAACAAGAACAGTTTGAGGGATGATATTTAAGCGCTCCATACCAATACGACCTCCTAGTTTGCCTACCTGGTCAGTATAATCCTTGATCATGGTTGAATTCGATTATCTGAATCAAAGTGATCCTTTGTAGACCTATAAGACATTTCACATGCTATACAATGAATCTGATATGGAAAAAAGTTTTTTTGTCACATAATGTTTCAACAAGATCAAATGCTTTAGATATCATTCAGCAATCATCAGAATCAGAATTTTCTTTATTAAATTAACACAATCAGTTCGATATTCTGTCTATTAGAAGATTTTGTTATATCATATAAAATAACATTTATTTTTTTTTATATTTTCAGATGACAAGTCTTACGACAGCAATGAAAAACCTTTTTCGTGATATTGCAACATCTACAGATAGTCAATTATTCTTAGACTTTTTTATACATTCATTTAATGTAATTCAAACTCTAGAAAATACTGGTCAGTATATGTGCATGTTGTATGAAACAGCATTCAGACGAAATCGATTATCATTTTTAAACCATTATACTATATATCATGCATTAATCTCCAACAAAATGGTTGGAGAACAACGAGAAAAACGTCGTCAACAACAGCAACAACGTATGGAAGTAGCACATATTTTGGATGCATCTTTAGCAAATATTGAAGTAATATACATCTGAGCATTTACGTGTTTATTGTCTCTATTTTTTGAAAGCATGAAGATGATAACAATACGAGCGGATTCCGGCTGGAATACACTGTAAGTCGTCGAAACATGGAAGCAGTGTTCCCATTGGAAAATTTTCGGATTTTTTTCGAAGTTTTCCGATCGGAATATTGCTTGCACTTCCGATGATTACCGGAGCGTTCCTGCAGGAATCGGTGACTTTCATACGTCTTTCCTGGAGGATCCTGCAAGATTCGATGGGCATAATGTTCGTCCTAGGTTAAATCAGGTAATTAAAGAAAATAAAAATCCAGATAGGATAAATTATTTGTCACATCAGCACAAAATATCGATAGAATCGTATTTACAACTGGCGATAATAGAATTATATAGTTCAACCATTGAAATCATTGGTGTTTCTGCCAATTTTTCTACCGGACGATATATCAACAACAAACAGATATATTGACTATTTTTTCTTCACTTTATCTGTCGGATGTTTTTGTATGAGCAACATTAACGAGAGAAAATGTTTCTTTGTATATACCCAGGACGATGGTTCCTGAAGCAGGATCCCATGAATTTCTGGCGAAAACCCTAAGGAAACTCGCCACTTCCGGGCGGAACCTGCCCGGAAAATGCCAGGAATCCGATGAAGAAGTGGGGTAACTGTATCCGGCTGGCGGTTTGGACATGTTCCTGTTGGTTCTGGCCCAAACCAGATAAATCCGGTCACCGAATCCGTTCAACCGGAATACTGCTTCCATGAAAACTCCGGATTACCATGGAACCGGCCATTTCCGTGCCGGATTGTTCGACCTGGGTATATTTATATATATATACTCATCTTCTTCCTCTCATTAGTCTTCATTTCAATCAACTGTTATACATATAGTCAAGACGACAAGTTACATATATAATGGCAGAAAAAGAGGTATATTTTCGATAGCCTTTCGAAGTAGATAGATTCGTTTTAGATGTAAATGAATACAGTTATTTATTTATTTTTCTTGTCTTTTTAGGATGTGAATATTTCATATATTGAACAAATCACACAGTTATTTTTGCAACTGAAATCGGGTGACATAAAGCAAGAAGAATACGATACAAAGATGTATCAATTCATCATTACTATTGAAACGATTGGCAATCAATAAAGCGTTCAATTCTATGAAAAACTTTTTTGTTCGTTATCATTTTTTTTATTCGTGTAGATCTTTAGTTTGACTTTTTTTGAATTCTATAAACTTTGACCGAAATAAAATTGCCGAAACGAAAAATGTAGAAAGATAAAAATAGCAAAAACTTCGAGTGGTGCAAGTTAGAGTTGTGAATAGTTGTCCATTATAAGAAATATTTATGGGTGTGGGTGTTCGTGACTATAATCGCTCAACCTACACCGATATCCACACCCACCCTCGAATAAACCGACATAATGCATTCTATATTGACGATGACTCTAGTGGCAACTACACAGGTTTTGCTGTCCTGGAAGAAAAAACAATTTATTCTAGAGCATTACCAATTCTTCTCAACAATTGCTATTGCTTACGATTGATTGATTTGATTACATAGCTCTTTTTCTTTCATGAATAAGTATAAGTAAATAGACTTGTTTTTTTTCTTCTTTCTGTTTGCGTATTATACTTCAAAATCAACCAAAACTATTCATGTTGTTTGCCGGTGAATAAATATGAGTATGTGTTATTAATTTTCATATATTTATTTGGTGCAACTTTTCACTTCTTCTCATATTCACATTCTACTTTCAAATCGAGCATGTTAGTCTAGGAGTATTTTCATACACTTAAATAATTCTTCTTTTTGACGATGAGAACCTAGCATATAACTCATTTGAACACGATTATCACTAATATTACTTTGAATTATATTAACGATTGTTTCTTATGTTTAGAAAGCAACAAACTATTGAATTGACTCAAAAAAACCATTTCGTCTGTAAATTCAATGGTTGTAATAATCGATGTGATGGTAAACATGATACAAATGAATGTTCCGATCATGCTCATTACTATGATCCTCCCGTTTGGCATGTTGATGAAGTCAAATGTGAAAAATGTGGAGTTCCACGTTTTTCTAACATGGTTTATCAGTGCAGCAAATGTAGTCATTACTATTGTGACAACTGTAGTTTTATGTAATGATTCACTTTTAATTGTTTTGAATAATATAATGCTACCTAAATAACAATTTTTCTCATCAATAGTAGCTTTAACACGAATAAAATAAAGGGTGCGGGTGGGTCTGGGTGAAGATATTGTATAAATCATACAGTGACACCCTCACCGTTGGAGAAAGTGGAACTGTTTCAAATATCCTTCATTCATGAATTTCTCACTGCCAAGATCAATCACAAATGCGTCATTCAGAAAACCAATAGCTATTTTGAAGGTGTATATCCCATTCCATGATCGATATTACATTACAAGTTAAAAGATAACTTTTTTTGATTGTTTTTTTCTAATTGATTGTATTTATCTTTAAAAGGTTTTCATCTTCTTTTTAATAAATAAAATGTAATAGATACCTATCATAAAGTAGGAGATATACCAATTTCGGAAGTGAAAAGGGAAGACTATATATAAAAAGAAAGTCGTCATTTCATCTTTCATTGTTTTTCAATACAAAACAAAACAAGCATATACTCTACGCACTTCCTATTCAATGCAATATATAAAGCAATCCTATTCTTGGGCAAGATCATACAATTCAACTCTACAATAAATACTATTAAATTATAAGCTATCTAATACAGATCGAATGGCTCGTGGTCTCTTAGTTGGTGTTTTACTGATTATGATAGTAGATGCTCAAATCTGTAAGCGATATTTTATATCGTTTGAAAATGTTTTTCATTCTAATCTTTGTTCATGAATAAATAGATGAAGCTAGTGCCGATTCATGTGGTTGTCCAACAAACTCTGACAAATGTGAACAAAACTGTATTAAAAAATACTATGGTACAAGAATTGTCAAAGGTGCATGTGGAGGATTTATATTTCTGTACTGCAAGTGCAGTGTCGATGGAGGAGGTTGGTATTCAATCGCTGGTATCTGTTCAACATAAGTGTCGCGAACATACAATATTTTTTTATCATTTTTATAATCGCAAACTTTATCAAGACTGTCACTTTGTTTCAGTATGAGTTCATGCGCTTATACTAAAACAAACTGATTGTTGGAAGAATGATTTGTTCTGATAATCTACAGTTTGACAAAATAAACATGTAATTATAAACGTATCTGATTCTCAATACTCACTATGATCGAAGCAGAAAGACAGTCATCAGGGAACGATATGAGTGTGGGTATGAATGTAAGAGACTAAAAAAACACCCACACACACCCTATAATCTCTATCAAATCAAGTTAATTATTCTTGTATATTCTAGATGAATTTATGAATTTTCCACATCGAAATAATATTTTTTTTTTCTGTACAAAAAAATGAACATTTTGTTCTGATCACCGAGACATGAATATATACATAAAAGAAAAGAAATTGTACACATAGACGGCACAATGTCAAAGACAGTGAATTATTAACATCACAGTAAAGAAAAAAAGAAAACTTTCTTATGTTTCTTAATTAATAAGTATTAAGTTCTTCGATTATTATTTGTATTTTGTGAATGTTGGTGACGTGACGATGATGATGAGGATGATGAGGATTGTGATGATGCAATCATATTTGGTGTTGTACCAAAAACTGAATTAAATAAAGTTGAATCAAATACACCTGAACTGAGTAATTGAGGATTAGCTAGGGCAGCAGCTAATTGTAATGTTGCAGAATCCCATTGAATCGATGATGATAATGTTGGAGGAATTGGTATTTGAGATGAATGACCACGATTTGACTAAAATTGAATGTTATTAATTGTTAAAATTGTAAAACGATAAATAAATATTTACCTGTTGTTCATGTGTAGAAGTAAATCCTGTTGTTGGACGTCGAGATGCTGCTGGTGAAATTGATGACGATGGTGATACTATAGCTGATTGCGATCGATTTGAAGATGAAGGTGTTTTTAGTTGTTGTTGAATCTAAATGAAGGATTAATGACAAAAATATTCTTTTAAAACAATTCAATCGAACTTGTTGATCAATTCTATGAGAAGTGGAAGTAAAATCAGTTGAATGACGATTTGAATGGCTTTTACTTGATGTTGAAGAACGTTGAGTATTTGTTGTTGTTGGACTTTGTATTGTCGTTGATGATTTTGAACTAGATGTATTTGTATTCGTTTTTGGACTATTCTGTGATTTATTCAGCATACTATCAACAGTTAATGGTGATGTAGACATTTTTGGTGCTGCCGCACCACTAAGTGCTTCTTTAAGAAAAGATCCAGCTGGCAATTTTTCTGATGGAAGTTTTGTAGCAAATTGTTGTTTAGAATTATGGACTGTTGATGATGATCGTTGTGATGATGATGATGATGATGAATCTTTATTTGAATGTGAATGAGTATGTTGTTTTAATGTTGGACTACTCGATTCATTTGAACTTTTTTTATATTGAGAAAATAAATCCATAGTAAGATCAATAACCGAAGAAAAATTTGGAGTTGAATTACGTTTTGTTGATGATTCAGGTTGAGAAACAATTGATGGCTTTGCTATTGGACGAACAATATCCGATTTATTTATTTTATTTGAAGACTGTTCCGATACCTTAAAGAATAAGTTTTAAGAGAAAAACATGAATGGATTCTATAAAATATATTTACTTGACTAGTCACTGAATCAGTAGATGATGGACGTGATGTATGTTGTTTAATAGGATTTGTTGCAACACGTGTAGCCATTTCGAAAGCTTTTATTTGATTATTATTATTTGTTAATGATTGACTTGAAGATTTACTAATATCATTTACTTTCACGTTTTGTTGTTGAGGAACTTTTATAGGTGATATATTAGAATTTGATATTTTCGGTGATGATGGAAGTGATGGTGGCGGAGGTGGTAGTGGTGGTGGTGGAAGGAGTGCTGGAACTGTTTGAGGTTCTTTTTTCACTCGTTCAGCTGTTATCGGTGTTGGTGTTGATCGTACAGCCTAGTTAAATTTTTGTTTTATTAAATATAAAAAATAAAATAATATGATATTTTACTTGTAATGGTTGAGTTTGAGGTGGATTAGGATCTCGTAATGGTCGATATTCTAATCTAACGACTTCACTAATAATTTTTCTAATTAAAAATAGAAAAAAAATGTTTAATTAAGTTTTTTTCATTATATCAAATTATACTTTGCTGTCATCCATCCAGGTTTTTCCCATAACGAAACAATATGTTCATGAAGAAATGATTCTAACGAATCTGAATCGAATATTGTCATTGTTTCAAGTTTACGATCGATACAACGAATGATTAATTCACTTAAAAGAAAGATTAAATTAAAAAAAAACTCTAAATAATGGTGATCTGTTGATTTACTTTATAGCTTTGTGTAAACGAAAGTTTTTTCTTGGTCCTCGATTTTTATCTTTCGATGGATTTTCAACCATTTTCTGTTGCCATTCTCTAGAATAATAAAATAGATTATTCTAAAAGAAAAGTAATCAAATAATAATATAACAAACTTGACTGCTTGATTATGTGCTTGTATATGAATTTCTAATGAACGATTTATTTCAATTTTTAATTTTTCTTTAAGTTCATTTAAAGAAAATGTTTTCGTCAATGGTTCATAATCATTTAATAATAATAAACGAGCTCGTGTTAGTAATATTGATGTATATATACCAGTTTTTGTACTTAAAATATCGAAAACTAATTGTCGATGAGCATTTGTATGACGATGAAGTTTTTTTACCAAACTAAAAACAACAAAATTAAAATTAAAATATTTTTCTATAAAAAAATTTTTTTCTTTACTCAAGTAATTCACGACAGGTAGTTGAATTAAAAAGTCGTTCAATTTTCTTTTGAATATTATTCATTGTTGGATCAGATGATTTAATTAACTAAATAAAAAAAATATTATCAAATTTTTTCAACATAAAACAAAACTAACTTTAACTATATTTTCAATAGATGGTTTAATATCATTATCCATTTCATTTGGTAAAACATATGTTGTACAATTTTGTGTAGATTGTTCACTTGGTGTTTCATTTAATTTTGCAATTTTTTTAACTGGTTCTTCAACTGGTTTGATAGTTTTATTTTTATCATCAGAATTAGTTGATATAGGAGGTGCTGCTACTTCAGATATACTTCTGAAATAAACGAAGTTCGATCTTTGATAATTAAATAAAAATACTACATACCTTTTTCGTTTTGTATTTAATAAATTTGGTATTATATCATCATCTGTTTTACTCCTTTTTACAAGTACCTTTTCATTTCCATCATCTTGATTATTAGTTCTTTTCTTATTTTGTTTTTCTTCTTTTTCACTGTCATCTGATTCATCGTCATCATCATTATTTTCATTCTCTTCATCTCCACTATCAGAATCACTTGCATCACTTAAATATCGAGCATTTATTGGTTGATGTTTTTCATTAACATAAAATCCATCTCGTTCATTAGTGACATTTTTTGGTATTATATCTTGTGCAGCAACTGAATCATCAATAAATGAATCATCATCATCTGGATCATTATAACCTACACCTAAATTTGCATTTTGATGATCATTTGAATCCATTAATGCATGAATTATATCAGATAATGATGCATTATCTTCAACAAGAGTCTATTGAACAAAAAAATAAATATTATTAATAATAAAAAGAAAAGTAAAATTTACATCATGCTCTGCAAGAATTTCTTTGACACTTTGTTTTCCACATGCTTTAACATAAGAACTTAATACTAGTTCTAAACTTTCTTTATCATTTTTCTAGATGAAAAAAAATATAAGTAAATCAATATAATAATGATATCTTACAAATTTTGTATCATTTGCAATTAAATCCAAGAAAGATATTTCTTGTGGATTACTATCAAGATTATTTGGTAAATTTAATTTAATTTCATAGGAAAGTGTTGGTAATTGAGTTAAATCTCGAGCTTTTTTTACTGGCAAAGACATCTGAAAGAAAAAGAATAATAAGAAATCAAATTTTTCATGCAATTATATTATATTCATTCTGTTTATTATTAAAAAAATAAGAAAGAAAATAATGTAGTTTGATATAAAGTTGAAAGATCATCAATGAATGGCGAAGACAAAAATGAATTGGAGATGTTTTCAATAGATGTCACTTTAAATTAACAGATAATAGTTCATCATCAATTATTTGAACTCTATTTGCAGATAAAAGTTCAATCCTATCATCATTTGGAAATAGATTATCTGATGGAAGTAATGGATCTGTTTCAAACAATGGTACATGTGGTCGATTAAAACGAGTATATAAAACTGTAGGTGTATTTGGTATATCATTAATAGTTACAGTTGTTGATGAACGATTTGTTCGACGAGCACCGACGATACTACTACGATTAGAACGTGATTTACGATTTTGTCGAATTTGCCAAATAAGTAAACTAAATCCTGTAAATAATAAAATCAATCCTAATATCGGACCAGTAAGAATTAAAATTAATGGTTGATATTTTGAATGTTTTCGGATAGTTTGTATTGATACATTATTATAAGATTGAAAATCAACTCCTGTTTCATTATTAACAAGATCTTCATCAGCTATTATAGAAAAATTAGTTGTATCATTTTCATTAATAGAAGATATAATTGTTTTATTTGTTGAATTGAATAAAATAATTTCTGTTGTTGTTTCAATTGTTGAATCATTTACTATAGAAATTGTTTGATTAATCGATATTATTTTTGTTCGAATTGGTTCAATTTGACAGACAGGATAGCCACCATTACTACATCGATGAAGAACTACAAATCCACCTGCTGAACGTTGAAAATAACGTAAAAAACATTCTTTTGGATCATTTTTATCACCAATAAGTAATCGTAACGAATTTCTTTTATTTAAATCATATTTTGATTGAATAGATAATTGTTTTTCTAATATATAATAAAAGAATTCAAGTAAAATATCACTAAATGTTCGACCAAGAAATTTTGTTACATTTA